AATATTATATTTGAATCAAAACGTTTTTATAAAACTTTACCTAAATGAATAAATAATTGCATAATATTGAGAAAATATTATTATGTAAGGAAATTTTGATGTATGGGATTGCATTTTTTTAAGATAAAGTTGGCAAAATGTTTACTTGGCATAGAAGCGGTGGTTAAATCCGCCCTCGTACTAGGTACAAGTATGCTTTCATTTTTAAACGTGGAGAAATTTGGTATTTCAATACTATGGATGAAATTAATAATTATTTGTGTCATCTTGTTGTTTGTTAAGATCAATAAAAATGAAAGGTAAGATGTAGGCATCATCAAAATATTTAATCAGCGTTGTTACATTGTTGACGCGACAATTAGGAAGTACACATGATGTAAAAAATAATATACGACTATATATGTAAAAATGTAACAGATGTAATAACCATGTTACAGTCAAAGGTACTTGTTTTATATATTATATTCATAAAATAACGCATAAGGCAACATGACGATGCTCTAAAAGATAATATGATTACGACATTTTTACCTTTTCACCTGCAGAAACGCAATGCGATTATGAAATATAGGTGTGGTCCTTTTAGCAACGTTTTAAAACATTATTTAAAAATAATATTTTCGTCATTTGTTTTTTTAATAAATTATTTCACCTAAAATGGACAAAATAAAGACATATACCTACAATTTTTAAGACCGATATCTATACCATAAGCTACGAGTACCTATACTTATAATAATTGGGTATTTAATACAACGTACCTACGAGTATGACACTTCAATGCAGGGGCGGATCCAGAGTTGGGGAACTGTGGGTCAAGTCATTTCAAGAGGCCATTTATTAGGGATGAAACTGAATTAGAAATGAATACCTTGTAAAAAAAAAAAAAAAACACAATATGCTCATAAAAGTGTATGAGTATATTTATATTACATTTTAGAATTAGTGATACCACCGATAATGACTTATTTACGATTAATAAATATAATCTAATTTTATCAGCGCAACAAACGTACGAAATAAAATATGATTTACTTAACTTTTAACTAAAACGATATAATTTAAAATATAAATTATGAATTGAAAAATTTTAAATTTTGAATAAACAAGGCATTCATTTTTCTAGTAACTCCAATGGGTCAACTGTGCAAAAGTCCAAATCAAGGTCTAAAAAAAGAAAAAAATTTCCAAGAGGCCAATTTTGTCAACAAATATTAACTGTGGGTCAGCTGATCCTCTGATCTCCCCCCTTAGATCCGCCCCTACTTTAATGGTCGATAAAATACTTCATTGTTAATTTATTTGTTCTGTAAATAAAATAATTATGCCAACAATCCCAAAATCAAAAATAATCAAAATTTTAATGATTTAAGTAATTCGAATGAATTATTATTATTAATATTAATTTGCGTGATATTCTTGAAACTAATATAGGAAAATATTTTTGCATCATCGAGGAAATTGAATTATACGAATAGTTTTATTCAATTGCGCTCATCTAATCTCGATGTATAAAGCCATCCAGCTAATATTTATGATGATGACACATTTTTCCATTCACTAAAATACTGTGATTAAATTTATATGATATACATACGTTATAAAATATTTTTTCATTCCTTTAATATATTGTTTCTCGCCCTAAAAATCAACTGAAGTTTATGTATTATATGTTGTACGGTTACAAAGTTATGTTTAAAGTTGACAAGTATACATTTATTTATACTATTAGCTAATTTTAGTTCAACTTTGATTTAAAAAAAAATTTATTTTATGTTATTAAAGAACTTTTTCCAAATAGTAACATTTTAGGACGACAGATTTAATTAAGGCCTTCGCATCCACATTAAGGCTTTAATTAAGGTTTAGAAAAATCTAAAACAATAGTTCTTTGATTAAAATATTTTCTCGATATTGGTTTATTTACCCAAAAATTAAGTTTAAGATGTCTTTTTGCTTTTAATTGAAAATGCTCCACCAGTAACTTCGATTTTTTCCATTATTTATATGACAATATAGAATTTAATGAATTTTACTTACATTTCTGGTTTTTAATGAATGTCAATTCAACGTGCCGAATACTGTACAAGTTTCATAATGGAGTTTATAAGTAGTTCTCTATTTTATAAGAATCCACACACACACATATACATATAAAATTTGTATTGATCGTTATTATATTTATGTCATGTGCAAGGTATGAAGTACGTTTTTATTTCAGAGAAAGTAATTTCGGTACTTCAAGTTGTTTTGCTTAATATAAATACTATATATACCGACATTTTCCTCCGGGATCGTTTAAAACAACACAAAATACTGCCTGTGTTAATTGTTACGTCGACGGCTTTTGCGAAATTACGGAATCACTGCGTTGAAATACAATGATATTTCTATTAAGACGTCCACGCACATACTTCACTATCAGCGTTACAACGGAAAGTGTACGTTTATTTTCTCACTTTTATTGCTTACGACTCATACGATTTATTATGCTTGAAGACCAGCAGCTCCATTAGAACATCTTTTAAAAGGTTTTGTGGTCTTTCCCTCGAGGTTATACGCCAAAGCCTATTTATATTCTTTTTTTTTGATTTTTTTTTTTTTTTGTAAAAAAAAAAAAAAACGCACGAAGGGTCAAGTTCGTTCTCCAGTTTCATCGTCAATAGACGTGTTGATTAAGCACGTGACTGGTACCAAAGCGTCAACAAACATATTTTTCTCCCAGTCCCATACAAAAGATGTGTGTTACGACTTAAGGGGAAAAAATTATTTTTATTTTTATTATTATTATTTGTCGGATGGCTGTTGAGTCTTTTGTTGAATTTTGTCCAAAACTTCTATCCGAAAGAACCCAATCGAACTTTCAGTGGTATACGGTGTATACCCGCAACAGAAAATAATGAGCTTATAAACTTTTCGAATGAAAGTTTTAGTTTGTCCGGCTTTCAATTTTTCACTAAATTAAACAATGCGAAAAAATCATCTCTCCTATCCTCTTATACATATACGTCATCCAATTTATCCAAGATACTATTTTATACAGTATAAGCGCTTAACTCCACGATGAATTCATCCCAAGAGAGCAAATGATATTGGAAATTATATTATACCTTTTATAGATCCTTACTCTAGTATGAAGTTGGAATTTTTTGACGAAAAAATACAAAACCAATTAATACTGTTTTATGTATAGATTTAATTGATTGAGTGATATAGCTACATTGTATGCAGTGGTATGGTTTCTTTTATAATCTAACAATTACATTAAGTATGAGCTTGTCAAATACTTTACTTGTTTGATATTTCTTTAAATTGTTATTTTGAAGAATGTTGTGTTATATTCGTCTTTATTATAGATAGTTGTTATGTTTTATATTGAAAATATGATTAGATTTCGTAACATAATTCCAATCCTATCATATAAAAATTGATTTGAAGCACGATGAGAGAGAGTGAGTTGGGACCCAACAAAAAAAAAAAAACGAAAACAAAAAAACAGTCGGATTTATAACAAAGCTCCGTAAGAAGAAAGTAGAAATAGCCATCATGGGAGAATATTCTATACTTCCTTAAAACGAAAATTACGTTGCTCGCATGGTCCAAATTAAAGGAAATGTAGCTACAGACTCGAATGAGATCGGATTTGTTGTATGAAGGGTAAAGAAACGTGTTAAAACTCTGGAGTCTATATTAGTAGTTATAAGAACTTATTTTATACTTATGCTCATGATGAAATGATTAATAACAGTAATAATAAAGAATAATAGAATAATAGATTCATATGTGGCCGATGGATGACAGAAAATCGTCAGTAGATTTCAATAGCCAATTGAGGAACGTATTTGAATATTACATTTTTAGAGATGATGTTTTCGTACTTAATAAATGTTAATCTTTGCGAGCGATTTGATATCTGATCAGTCACGTGAATATGTATTAAATCGAGTAAATGAATTGTACTTATTAGTTCATCGTTCAAAACTGGAACGGCTTACGCATGTCCATGTAACATCATTATCAATCCGAAACTTCTTTCAACGGTAATATTATTATTTTATTTGAGATTTTATTCATCGAATCATGACAGTTGACCGTTCACAATATTTATATCGCAGTATATACGTTCGATTCGATTTATAATATATATACTATACATATTTTATATAATATTAAGGATACCCGCCCATATATTTGTTTAAAATAAAAATAAATATTTCTAACAATGTATTAAAGCACTATCGCAAAACGGTTTTTGTTCGTTTTAGGTTTCTAGACATAAGTTTAAAAAATAACATCGTTGGTTTTTAGAGTATTATATTAAAGTTTCTATTTTTATTTATATTTTGTTCGTATTAATGAATTAAAATTGTATTCACAGCGTTAACAATATCGAAATATGAGTAGTTTATGTACGTTCGGAGTAGTCACAATATTAAAAAATATGTGAGCTAAAACATGAATAATTTATTCGTAAATAAAGATATTGCACGTGTTCGTAGGATTTCTATGTCTGCACGTAAACGATAAATCTTATAAGAAATTGTACTGTTTTAGTTAATCGTTTAAATGAGGGATTCGGCACGATCACTTTACCAACATATTTTTTGTAAATTTCGCATATTCTGCGGGGGTGGGGGGAGTTTAAGGTGGTGATGAAGGAAGAGGCAGAATCGGCAGTATTATCGCGCGTACACATGTACAGTACCGTAGCAACCAAATATTGTTCCCGGGACGAACCTTTGAAACGGGCCCTTATGTGTTTTTAATTTTTTTTTTAACAACGATCGTTTCGTTTAACATACAAGGACGTTTTCGTAAATGGAACATGCATCATTAACCGTTGCAGTAGTCAACACGAAACGAACAAATTTTATCGGGCAACTATCCTCTCCGCAACCAAGTTGCTACGGGCCCGCGCGTACGCACTTGAACCGTGGAAACGTCACACACACATACACACACACACACACACACACACACACACACACACACACACTTACTCGCAGCGTCGGTGAGCCACAGCCCGTATGGGTACCACTTCCAGTAGATGTAGTAGTCGGCGTCCACGATCCACGGATAGTTCTCGAACGATATGGTGAACACGAACAGTAGATAGAACAGGTCGGACACGGCCAGCGCCGTGAGATAAGTGCTGGTGGAGCTCTTCATCGGCTCCCTGGTCAGCACAATCACGGACAGCATGTTGCCCACCACGCCCACGGCCACCACGGCCGGCAGCAGCGCCTGTTGCGCCCAGAAGTGCACCGCTTTCCGGAAGTAACAGTACTTGTGCAGGTCCTGGGCCAGCAGCTGTGCGCAGTTCTCCATGGCCATCGGTATCGGCTGCGGAACAGAATCATCAACCACGTTACAGCACAACGACGTAATGTTGCAGCGCGCGCGCGCCCTATCGCGTTGGTTTATTTGATAACCACTCTGCTGTGACCGAGCGGGTTCGTTCCCTTTCGCGTTTACCGTCACGTTTATGCAATGCGACACGTCCGTGACACATCGACGGATTCGTCAGACAACCTAAATCGATGCTCATCCCTCTCCTGCTCGCTCCAACATCCCTAATGAATACAATTACATTGCCTTATCATTCCTACTCCATTAGAACTTCATTATTTATATGTTCCGTTTACCGTATTACGTTTATATGTACATATATATATATATATATGAACCTTGTAAAAACGTGTGATGTGTTCACACATCGTAAGTTTAAACAAATAATAAATACAATAAATATCTCAGTATCCGTTTAGTCCAGTATTATACTGCGAATAAATGTAATTTTATTTTACTTATATACCTAAATAAAGCATTTGCTCTCGTTGTTCGATATCGATTTTTCGTTCGTGAAATTAGAAATGCGTTGATTTATTATTGTTGCGTCAATTCACTTGGTTTAACCAAGGGCTATGGGCTATGATTGGTTAGTACACCAATTCGTACCATATTTGTTCCGTTCCGGCCAATATCCTATCAACGATGGTGGATAGATTGTTAGCTTATCCAGATTGATCGATTTGAAATGCATGAGCAATAGTGTTTGATGCGTAATATTTTATTAAAAATCCTCATAATAAAACGAATATTTAGATATATGTTTAAATGGAATATTGATAGCATGATAAAAAGGATTCTTGAACGATGTCATCATTTCATATTTGAAATAAAATTAATAACATTTGAATACAATCGTTTTAAATTATATATTTATTTTTACGATTAAATTACAGTTTCATTCAACATTTTTCTATCATTTCAATGATTAATAATTATGTTTGTTAGCGGTGGAAAATATTTAAAATCAGTGGTTGAATTTCAATGAAAATTCCTTATTTAATTCAAGCAAAATCATGATGTTATAATATAATATATTATATTACCTCTTATTTGCTTCTCATTTGGAATCCGACTGAGTACAAAACATATACTATTGGAATGATTTATTTACGAAGAATTCAGAGAAAAATCCAATTTTTTATCTCTACCACACTTAGTAACTCCCAAAACTTAATAAATTCAACAGTCGACTTCATCATTATTTTAAAGTTAAAAGATAAATTATACAATTAACTACTATACAATTTTCTTTTTTTTTATACATATATATTTTAAAATCTTTTTTATTTATTAATTTTAATGGCTATTTCTGCTGAGTGTTAAAATTAAAAAAAAAAAAAAAAAAGCTCGTATATCATATTATATATCTAACAAAAACAAAGTATTTTATTAATAAAAAAGTTGAATGAAAAACAAATCAAATATCTGTTATAACTTATTTATACAAGACGTTTAATGAATGCGTTATTATAAAATTATATTTATGTTATGTAAATTACTGATTATCAAATGAAGAGAGTCGTTAAAATCAACCTAAGGGTAAGCTTTTATTTGTTGGATCATTAGATATATATACATATATATATATAAATCATTCTGTATAATATCTATTTATTCTTAGGTCGACTGATTTAAAACAATGTGAATGTGCATTTCTTATAGTATACAGTCTACATTCGAACTTGTACTACATTTTATTTATATTTTTTCCCCTTCTAATTAGATTTTCAAAATATCTATTGTATCCACGATATCTTCATGGAAAAAATACCTTTTTTTTATGTACATGTTGTACCATTAATGTTTTTATTATATTGTAATCGTTGTTTTACTTAATTTTAATAAAGACTTTAAGATAGCAATCAACTAATTGTTTAGACAATTATTATACTTCTTATATCTATAATATAAATATATACATATTTCATTCATAAAAATAAAAATAAATAAAAAAGTTAAATTTAATTTTAATAATTATTTACATAAATCATTAAGTTTATGAATTAAATATTTGTAATTATTTAAAAGTTAAGAATTATAATCATATAAATAATTATAATTATTTTAAATAAGAGAGAATTGCAACGATTGCAAGATTTCAAACACATATAATAATTAATAAAATATTTTACAATAACAAACATGGAAAACGTGTGAGTACAAAATACTACTAAATTACAATTAACGATATCAAGGTCAGTAAATGCTTAATATAGAAGAATCAAAACACAAATATGGTGACTGGAATTTGTAGTTAAGTAATCACTGAACAAATAATAAATAAAATAAATATTTTGAATTTTTTTTTTTCTGTAATGGTTGATGAAGGTACCGATAATTCGAGATAAAAACAAATATCGTAATGTATTGGATATATTGATTTTGACACCAACTTTTCTATAATTCAGGAAGATTTTTTTAAATTTTGTAGTTGTTTTTGATTTAATTGGCTCTGGTTTAGCATCATTAATTCTAGAAGATTTAAAAAAGTATAACATTGATTTAGTCGGACAAAAATAATACGACGTGCATCAATGATTGGACATGGAGTTCAGGCAATAGTAAGATACACATTTCCAAGTGCTTTATAGTGCATTGTAGAGCACAGTCATTAAAATTAGTCATTAGTGATGCATGTAAAATTACCGCCATATAAAATTGCGTATAAAATGTTTTAAGTATTTGCATTTTTTTTCGGGGCTTAGCTAAGCTAACTGGAATTTTAAAAAAATCTATTCAAAGACAAAATACCATACTGTCCAGTATAAAAGTGGCATTTGTTGCTATGTATGCAACTAGATGGATTTTAAGACATAACTGTATTAAACAGTCTGAAGAAATGTTTATTTCAATTGCTAATACCTTAGAAAATATAGAAAATTCGATGAATGAAGAAACGTCAACTAGGATATCAGCACATCAGCTTTAACAAGTTACGAGTATATTAAATTCGTAAATTTGCATAGTAAATTTTTCCATTATTACCATATTAGAAAAATATTATCATCCACGCATTTTAAATGTAACCAATTACATTTTACATTATACATGCTTTAAATTAATTGAGCAAAAATTCAAATGATAAATTTAAAATATTATTTGAGCATAGTCATACAATACTTGACGATTTAGGATGTGACCATGCAGTAACAAAAAAAAAAAAAAAAAATTAAAAAAAAAAAAAAAAATAATCGGTGTAATGTGCCATCTAATCCTTATTTTGAATATTATAAAATATCTAAAATATTCATAATAATAATATTCTTACAATTATTTGATCATATTAGTATATTGACTCATCTGACTGTTCGTTTCGTAAATCATAAATAAATTTATACTAGCATTAAAAATTAAATCTATGCCCAAAACAAAATCTTGGGCGCGCCCTTGAACGATATTGCTTTTCTAAATAGTAACATGGAATAGGCATATTTTATATAAATATATTTTGGGCTATCCAATAATATTTGATAAATAAATGGTGCCTATCGGTAAATTATATAAATAAATATTATTCATTCATAGAAAATTCTATGTTATTATAATGAATTTCATTTTTCTATCCAATTACTTTGTCTAGTTATATTTAAATTATTTTATTTTATCTTGTCGATTTATTGACCTGGTTTAATTATTTTGATTCTATTCCAGTTTGAAATATATTAACTCTGTATTTTCTTTAGAAACATTACAGTTGTGTGCAAATCTAGTGATAGTATATTTATACAAGGTAAATTGTAAAACGTAAGAGTTTCATTCAATCAGTTTAAGTGGGTAGTGATGTATATCAGTGTCACGTATAAAATATGTATATTTAAGTTGCTATTTATCGTCTAACATTTTTTTTTTAGATATTTAATTTTTCAAAACAATTAATAATTTTATATTTAAATTTATATTTATTATTTATTATATTTACGCATCTGTAAAGTTATATAAATCGTTTAAATTTTCAAAACATTTACATTATCTCGTAAAATATTTAAAACTGTATATTTCACGATTAAAAAATATACAAAATGTCTATTTTTATATTAAATTGTTGATCGAAAAGTGTTGTATAGTCATACTGATATACATAATTGTTGGTTTGTTTAAAAAATTAGTCACCTTAGTAGAAGAAATAATTTTTAATTATTTAAAATGCGTCATTTACATAGTTCATATTTAAAAAACGGCAACTAAGTGTTAGATATGCACGAATAAATTAATATTTTCAATATGTTTGTTTTTAATTTAAATTAAAAACAATTTTTATAATATCATAATATAATATGCTGTTCTAACATATAGTCGATACAGTAACTTTGAGTGTTATCATAAAATATTTACACTGCAAGTACCGTAATGAAAAAAATATAGTGTTGGACAGATATTTCGTATCCAATTTTTTTTAAATATTTCATTAAACCACATTTAAGTGTTCCTTAAGTATTCATAAATATCTGCTTATTTCAAATAGTGAAACAGTTTTTAGTACAATGCAGTTAATATTATATACATTAATGTACCTTTGTTCATTATTTATATAAATACATAATTACTATGTGCACATTGTTTAATTTCTATATCGATCACTTCATATAAGAGTTCAATATTATTAAACATCTATCAACGCTAATGGCATACTATATTCAAATTTGAAGGCTAACTACCAATTTAATTAGTTGCGATCGGTAATCGCGGGATACTCAGCCATCCGTTGAATTGAATGATTACGTGGTTGGTTGTACAACTAGAGTTTACATCCCGAATGTATAATTCTGACCGATGAATTGTTCCTTTCAACGTCTTCATGTGGTACGCGTGGTTCGCGACCGACGGATAATTTCATTTGAGATTCTAAGATTTCAGGTGTTCGGAGCGAATTAATTTACATCTTGCGATCACGGTTATTATTATTTTTAATCAAAAGCTACGTTCCCCACGGCTCTATCTATAATTGTGTAACTTTGAGACTGACGTGGACTGAAATCGTGTACTATATAGAAAC